CATTTGCCCCAAATCAATAACCACTACACACAAAAATAATGTCTATCCTCCCACTGATGTAATTTGCAAGAAGAAAAACAAATCAGCAATGGGAAAAATATTATCTTTACCACTGAGTAAAATTATATGTAAAACATTTTATATTTCATTAAGATCTCATAAAAATACTTAAAAATAATTTAACTTTCATTTCTTTAAATAAAAGAAGAAAATTGCACAACACAGTGTATTCTAAAAGGGAGAAATAAATGTTTAGAGCATCTGGCTGGACCCGCATCAGCCTGAGCAACATCTCAAAGCACCGGACAGCATGGTCTCTGTTAACCTTGAGTGTTAAGGAGGAAAAAAAAGAAGACAAAAGGACAGGGTTATACTGTGGAGAATGAGAGATTGAAAGAGGAAGAGGGTCAGAGTAAATCTCTAAATTTGAAAGTGGCGAGTACTAAAAAGTACCTCTGGGATAGAAAATTAAACAGATGAATTTCTGAGATTTCTAAAGGTTCAGCTGTTAGCATTAAATATTCATTCTCTGCAAAGAAAAGAAAAATAGGAAAATTAAACATCTCTTAAAGGGAAACCTCTGGTAGAAAATCATTTTAACAAGAAAATTTATTTTTCATGATTGTGAGATGATTAAATATAACAAGACCTCACCCACAAAGTTATGGTTTTCCTTATAAAGACACTAACATCGATTTAGGATTTTCCTCTCTAATGTAGCCTGTCATGAAGCGTCCATTATGTTCTGATCCAAATATCCTTAGTCCAAGGTGAACTTGTCAGATGCAACACTTCATTTCTGGGAAAGAAAATCCTCAGCTCTCATTTACCCCTTTTATGAGTTTTCTTTTATCTGGGTTTGAGGCACTCACCCATCACCCAACAGTTCTCAGGCTGAGCAGCTTGGGGTAAAGTTTATCCCTTTCCTTATTGATTTTAGAGAAGTTGTGTTTGCTCCGTTAAGCCAGCAAGACACAGTGAAATGGTTTGTAAAAAAGCAGTTATATGGTTCCGTAAAAACATTTCTTTTTTGTTTGTTTTTTTTGTTTCTTTTTGGTGGGATATTTGATCCTGTGAAATAAAATTGCTTTTAGGAAACTCAAGTTTAATAATTGATGATTCAAAGAGAATATCATACAAGTGGAAGTTAACGATGTGACTGATTGATTGATTATTTTATTGATAATTTAAAACCTATCTATAATATTAGAACAAAATATAAATATGGTCATTACTCACAGACATGCTTGAAAAAAAAAAGACGGTAGTTTTACAACTGTTTGAATACTCCTAGCTTTGAAACCTGGCTTCAAGTTAAAAATCAGTAAAATACAATAAATCTAAAGAGCATATCCCATAAATTAAGGCAACACAACATAAAAAAAAACTGCTGTAGCAGTGATTTAAATCTCAACAAACCTTTGCAACTTATAAAGGAATAAACAGTTTATGTTTATTATTTTTTTTTACATTTTAACCTGTAAAACTGTTCAATATTTTATTCCATTGTAAACCTTGTTCTCTTTTTCTGAATATTGTATATTTTATAACAATCACTGCTTATCATGAAGAGTTGTGGACAAAAACATGTATTTCACTATTCTTTCATTGTTCTACTAAAATGTTGAACTTCAGTCAAAATATTAAGCAAACGACACAATAATGATGCAAGTTAAAATAAATTTTATCGTTATCTACCACCTTTTATCAGATATTAATTATATTTGGGATCAATTATTATATTATATCAGCACAAATGTATTATATATAGCAAATGTGTTATAAAACCCATTGCCTCTAGTGCTCTTGTAAAACCTCATTGCTCTAAATTAGGTCCTTAAACCCGAATTGCATATTATGTGTTAGATGAGTATTTGATAGTATTTTGATAGTCATTTTTCAAATTTCTTTCTCTGAGCTGGTGAATTTTGAGTATTAATTATATTGGGACACAATTTTCTAAATCCATTTTTTAAAACCTGTGTTACCATTTCTAAATAAAGGAGTGTGAATTCAATGTAAAAATTACAATATAATACATATCATGCTGCTTAAGTACCTCAATGAGTGTTAAAACTCTGGATGAAAAAGTTTGTGGCTAGATTAACATTAAGAGAATGTCACAGCTAAGTTAAGTTAAGTTTATTCTTAAATCATCCAAAATCATTCAATAAACTGTTCACTTGAGGAAACATTAATTTGGTCATTAAAGCTACAACTACCCTAAATCCTCTAATATAGGACAGGGCCTTTATTTCACTCAGGTACATCTTGGTCCAGGCCATTATTGGAAGGAGGCAATAATTAGAGGCAGGCCTCTATTTCTGTTTGAGCAAAACAGACTACCAGTGGAATGAATAAAAAAAAGATTTTGTGTCTCTTTGAACCTATAAAATACTACGTTAATTTATTAAAAAAGAACAATTATTGCCCCCTGTGGTACTTGTATGTTACTATCACAAGTTGTTGAGGACTGCCCAGAAACATCATTGGTTCTAATTATAGCCCCGGCCTGTATACGAGGCTGGCCACTGTTTACCTCCGCCGACAGCGAGACCGGCCACTGTTAGAGTCCCGGCCACTAATGGAATACAGGCCATTATTAGAGGAATTACGGTAACATTATTATAAGCCATTAATCCAATCCAATCAATCCAATCGACTTTATTTATATAGCACATTTAACAACAACAAAAAATTCTATGTGGTATACATAAAAACAAACCAAAAAAACAAAAACACACAATAAAACAGTAAAAGTTTAAAATACATAAATAAATGAAAAGGACACAAAGGATGACACAGTTATGAGGTGTTAAAAGCTAAAGAGCAAAACTCGGTCGTAAGACACGAATTGAAACACTCCTCTCTGGAGGCTGTTAATATATGGAGGGACAAAGTACAGTGGCGGAGCTAGATGGGGGTCCAGGGGTGGCCATGGCCACCCTTAGCAAATCATTAGCCACTCCTGTAGCCACACCTACCATTTTTTCCCCTTTAATACAGACTGTGGCAGCAATAATACTCTGAAGTGGAATATTCAAAACATTCAAATTTTTCATATATTTACAAACACAATGTGGTTAATTATGCACATCAATATACTAACATTAAAGATGATTATTAATGCTCTTTTCAGAACTAGCTTTTGTGATATATGGGGTAAAGAGAAAAGGATGTGTCTCTGAAAATCATTCAGGAGTCTTCAGTGAAATCATAGATAAATAACTATTTTCATAAAAACTTATTAAATAATAAATTTATGTAGATATAAGTACTTGTAAATATCAATTGCATGCAGAATAATTGTTAATAAAAGTAGGTAAGTAATGAGAAAGGAAGATATGTTTGCCCCAGAACTCAAACCTGAAAGAATTGTATCCATTTTACTTTTTATCTAGAAAGCACGGATGTTTAAAAATATGCGTCTATTTGTTAGCAAAGGTTGTAGGAAAGTATAGTTTGTCTTTATTTAGAAAATAGGCCTGTTGTGCTTGTTAATTTTCCTGTTGGAACAGTGTAGATCGACCCTGAGGTTCTGGTGCCTGTCGGCCATCCCTGAGTGTACATTGGTTATTGCCTGTCCACCCTTTCTGGCTACGCCTCTGACAAAGTATTCAAAAGTCTGGGGCCAACTACAGAAAAGGCTCTGTCCCCTCTGGCTTCAAGACTCTTCTTAGGCCATACTATTTGAAGATAGCCCTCAGACCTCAGAGTACATGCTGGAAAGTAAATCTGGAGATGATTGGTAATGCATTGAGGAGTCATCCCATTCAAAACTCTAAACACAATCAGTAAAATCTTAAGATCAATTCTAAAACAAACAGGGAGCCAGTGCAGAGATGGGAGATGTTTTCTGGTTCCTGTTAAAAAAAAAGCCACTGTGTTTGGACTAACTGCAGATGGGAGAGAGCTCGTTGACTAATGCACATAAAGTGCATTGCTGTAGTCCATCTTAAACTGTAATATGGTTTTCAACCATGTTTCCCCTTCCTCTTTGTTCATAGTAGTTTAGTTTAGTTGAGTTCCACTAGTTTTAGTTAAGAGTTTTGACTTTGAGCTGAATGACTTTAGTTAATGAACTCTTATATTTTAAACAGAAGTTGTGGTGAATTTATTCCATGTATGTGCAGAATTACCGGTAACTGACTATGATTTGAACTCAAATCACTCTTTCATTTATTTGTTCTATCACACAGCTAATAGGGCGTGGGTTCATAAACAATATTTAACAGCCCAAATAATATCTGATTAAATAAGATATTTTACCACCCCTATCAGGGAGGACAATACTCATCTTAAAGTCTCAGAAATATAAATTCCCAGCTGGCTGGGAATAGAATATAACAGTTATTCACAACATAAATATGGCATCCAACCCGAATTGAATATAATATAAATCCACAACATTAGTTAGGACAAGCTCAGCCAAGGTATTGGTATTGGATGGATCATAAATAAACTGGATCGTGCATCATAGACCCTTATTCCAGTAACCCAATTAACCATGTAAAACACATTATGTAGATGTATATACAATCAGAATTATGTTAAGAAGCCTTTATGCCTGTTAATCCTATTAACAATTAAATTAAACAATTAATTGTTTAAACAGTTAAACAATTCATTACAAGCTGCCCTACTAGTAAGCCTAATAAGCTTCCTGACATTCATTCAATGTTTTTTGCATTTTGTTTCCATTGCCAAATGTTATCATTATTATTTCAACATTTCTAAATTAGGCTTAAAATACTAGTCCATATATCTAATATATTTGTAAATAATGTGTCTTTTGTTATTTTTCTTCAACTCAGATTACAGCACTTAAATGATCTGTTGCCCTGCCATTCATTTCTCATTGATATATTGTACATTATGATTTTCATTGTGCTTCAGTGTTGTAGCACTGTTTATACCGCAGTCCTATTTTTTCTTTCTTAGATTAACTTTGTTAGCAGCTGGTTATCAAAGGTGTCAAAAACCTTTGAATCTCGACTTACCACCCAGAAGAGAGTTGTATGAGCCAGAGCCTGGAATTGGTCGATGGTAGAGAGGACACTAAGGATCAGACACGCCAGCACTATGAGGAACCTGTATAGATCAAAGAAGAAGATGTCTTGAGTGGAATGTTGTTTATGAAAAAAGTCACTTTCTATTTATTAAATCTGTAATTCAACTGAACTAATCTTCTATACCAATAAACAGCCCTCCTAAAATCAAAGTGTTATCTTGTGTGCAGACTGTCAAGTTAGGCAAACATGAATCTACTCAATCTCATATTTATGTCAATGTTTCAGATTCTGATTAAAAGTGAACAGCCTTAACTCAACTTTGGTGTTTGGTTCAAGTATATGACTGACTTAGGAAACATTCCTTTGATGAAAAAACTGAACTTTTTGAAAATTCAAGCATTTAAATGCAAAGCACATGTGAAGCTTGTCAAAAAGCACACAAGATCCAACTGGAGTTTACAACTTACCCTGTAACTAAATACCAAATCAGATCTTTACCATTTTTTATTACACTTTTACAAATGTGTCCTTTAAAAGTGGAAATAAAATATCTTTAAACCCATTCAACCTATGAGAAAAATAATAACATAATACTTGGAGCAAAGGCTTAAATCGGTTTTGACACTTCTTGACAAATAAAAGCAACATCCAGAGGAATCCAGTTCTGACAGGGATTATAATTTTAGGGATGAAAGGAATTTATAAGTCTCATATGAACATGTTTTTGACATTTGAATGTTATGAGGTAACGTTTTTTTCTGAAGTGCACATGTAACATGAAAATTAAATCTATCAATTGGCTCCCATGTATACGCTTTTTCTCAGAGCTTTACATGAAAGTCAGTATGAGGGATCCCTTTCAACTGAAGAAGAGAAAGTCTGGTAAAAAGTCTGTAGTGCAATATCATTCACAAGCCCTTATAAACGTATATTATTGCCTTCATGTGTTTCAGCCCACCAAGAGGAGGCAGCGTTCCTGTTTTTGTTTAAACTGCGTGAGTTTTAGCTCTGTCATCACACTGAAATTTGGATAAAGGTTTTCTGGCAGTTCATCTATTTACAAGATCTAATAGGAAATGTACTATTTCTCTTTATGGACTTTTGCAGAACAGTTGATATTGAAGCAAGGACAAACACATATCTGCTGACAAGAGGTGTCAGGAAATGGTAGGATAAAAGCTAGAACAAGTGAATAAAATAGAAGAATGTGAAATAACCCAAAAGCTTCTTTAGTTCTAGCCTACATTGAAAGCAGTATACTGTTAGAATGAAATTAAAAATGCATGGTTTCAATGAGATCCAATACATTTTTTATAGCCAACAATCTAACAGAGGAATTAAATGAATTAATAACTGGCATCTACAGAAATTAGTTTGTCTCTAATTGCGGAGTGATCCAAGACATAGCATTGTTTTTGCAGTTATTTACTTTAGACCATATATAAAAGTTAGGTAAAAAAAAAGTTTGGTTATTAGGTAAGCCTCACTTAGATTCATTGTTGCCTTCAAACAAAACTTAATCTCTTATAGCCCAGTTTAAACAAGTTTTCAGAAACATTCTGCAGAAATCTCAATCTATATTAAAGCAATAGTATCATGTAGTTACTGCAAATTAGTCTAGTGCATACCCATCTATTTTTTCACCCAATCCCAAAGGTGTTTAATTTATGTTTCCAATAGATTTTAACCACAGATGTACAAGATCCTCTACCATCATTGAAGTAGGCATGTGCATCACCATAGCTTCCAGACATTCCAGGAAATTGATACTCTGGACTAATGTGCAAAATAAATTGAGCAACATGGGGTAGAGAAAGAACACATGGCAAAGAAAAGCTCCATTCGCCCCTGATCTTTTATCCTTCCATTGTAAATTATTTATTCAAGAGTACCTAAACAATGGGGGAGCTTCAGGGCCTGAAATACATGTTTGTATACAGTCAATGCTTTTACCAGCTTTTTCAAGGACTTACAAACTCTTCATGTGAATAATCTTCATTGAGTTTTAGCCTTTATTGCCTTTCTGGAGGACCGGTTTACCCAAAAGGCTGACAAAATAATGAAACTAACTGCCAGTGCTTTTTGTGCATGCAATTCACATTCTTCTGACGTTTTTCTAATTATAAAACACAAAGACAGATTTTTTCACTAATAATTTTCTGTCATGCTTATCCCAAGCGGATTCACGAGGGGTGCTGGTGCTCCAGCTGTCAATGGGCGAGAGGCAGGGTACACCCTGAACAAGTCACAAGTGCAGCGCAGGGCAATATAGAGACAAAAAACCATTCACACACACACTCACACCTAAAGAGAATTTAGAGAAGCCAATTAGGCTAACCGTACCCAGAGAGAACCCATGCATTTTCAGGGAGAACATTTGAGGCTCAATCCAGAAAGACCCTGGGCTGGGAATCAAACCTGGAACCTTCTTACTGCAAGGCAGCAGTGCTACCCACTTATCAAGTGAGCAGCCACTTACAGTACACTTGCAAAGGAAGCAATATATTTCTTATCTCTTTAAGTTGATCTGTGTGTCATGTGTCACAAAAGGCTTTCTTATTTCTCCTTATGGCCTTTCGAGCTGTGTATGCTAAAATAACTATGAAAAATAAAAGCAAGCAGTAGAGATAAATGAAACACTAAAGTTTCTCCAAGGCAATAATTAACTTTCAAATTAGTATTAAATACTATAAACCTCAGGATTAATAGAGAGTATTTACCTAGATTGTCCCTTAAATCTCCTTTGCTCTTGTTAATCCATACAGTAGATCCTGTTCATTTACCAACCAAGTTAGAAAATAACTCTCAATGAACTGCTGTTCTCTAGAGCAGAAATCATGTGGCTGTAAAAAACACACTGCTGAATTTGGAAATGGTAACATGAACAACTAGATTTACTGAAGAGTAAGTCCATCTTATCACTGAGGAGCAGACGGACATGGACCCCACACATAACACTAAGCATCATAATGGTAACATTTACATTATACTATTAATACCCCTAAATGACATCTGTGAGCAGAGCTCATTCTTCCTACTTTTGATTGGCAGTTTTCTTTTTTTGTAAGCAACAACAGTGTTTCCCTTAAGCCCTGTATAGTTTATAGAGGTCTAATCCAGATGACCATCATAAAGGGTGGTTGCCTTTTCCACTAATTTTACCACTAATATGATAACCAGTCAGAGGTTATGATATTAATGTTTAATCTTTCATCTTTTGAATCAGTACAAGAAGCAACCACCTCGTTAAACTTGACTTTGTTAAACTTCACTCCTATCATTTTGTCCCAATTACCAGGGGAATGAAAGGAAAACTGCCTTCAAGTCTGCCCGATTACTGCTTTCACCTACAACAAAATTCCATTCCTGTTGAGCTCAAGAGCAGATTCTGCTTTCACTGCTTTAAAAAAAAGGTTTGCCTTATTCACCCATACAGCCGACCCATAGATACTGTTTTCTTAAGAGGTCAAAGCCTCCAATTTGGAGGTCGAAGCAGTCTTTTCTCAATGTTCTACCTTGAATGGTAAACATTGTTCCTGTGTTTTTTTATTTATTTATTTTTTATTTCAGTAGATTGTCCCCCACTGAAAGAAATTAGGATGTTGGGTAATAACTTATGAAATTAGCCCTCACAGACTGGCTAATTGGCTGGGGGGCTCTAAACATCCTGTGCTGGTCTGGACTGATCATAGTAAGCTTACAGTCAGTCTTGTTGGTCACTGTTCAATCTTATCTCATCATTTCCATTTCTTAACGCACCATCTCACCTGGATCCTATCAGTCTGGGTTAAACCTGAAGGTCCTTTTCAACAATATTCTCCAGATGATCTGATAAGACTCCACCACCCTTCCTGGTGGAAAACCTCAACCACTTAAGTAGGTCTATCTGGAACCATTACTTCAATAACAGTAACAATATTATCACCCTTTGTTATTCTTTCAGATCCTCTGTGATTATCCAGTTCTTAAAGCATTTCCTCCAAGGTCCCTCTGTCACCTTATCATACTTAAAATTCTTAAACCCTTTTTGAGTCTAATGAGTGGTTCATGCACATTTATTAGACAGCTTACTAACACCACGAAACCGACACACTTGCAAACTACACCATTAAAAAGAATATTCTGTCATTTCAACTTTGTGCTCATTTAGTGACACATCATGATACTTAATAGAAAATAGCTTTGTGCCAAACATTTTTTTAAAATCTTTTTATTTTTAACACTTTGCCAGTATGTCAAATCTAATCAAATGCATGATTCATTTCTTTTTATAATTCTAATATGTTGTACTTTAACTAAAAGAAAATATTCCATTAATTTTAAACAGTAACCAGAAATTGGTTGTTTTTGAGTAGAGGTCCTTTGCATAAAATAATTACAATTAATCCAATACAGCAAGACTCAATGGCAACTATGTGTAGCAACAGTTTTGTTTGCACCATGAAGACCCTTATCACGTCTTGCTACTGCTTGCCATTTATTGAAGTTCAGCCAGGAATTCAAATAGCCCCCCTTTTGAACGAACACATACACACAGTCACAAACGTGCACACCACACGTCAACACAGATAAAAGACGGAGGAAGGATCTGTACAGGGCTGCTGGATAACACCACTAAAGCAGATGGTCCTGTCTGAAATGACTAAACAAGGAGACAAGACAACGCAGTAAAAATGACACTGGAGTCCCCCTAAATTCTGTCCCCAGGATGTTGCAAATGTAAATGAAAGCCTCTTTGTCTTCTTATAAATTCAATTTAAAATAGTTGGCAAAACATTAATTCATTGGTCAATTCATGTTTACTCTATTATACATGTGACAGAGATGATGACAAAATATAATATAAATGCGAAACAACAGCAGGGGGAAATCTCCAAATAGTCATTCTGATGTGGCAACAGCCATTTAGTTTTTTCAATCATGCCCTATCTAATCTATTTTGCAGTATTTGCCATGCTTATGAATATAAACAAGGCCAGAATGATGAGCTTGGATTTCTGCTTAACTTTTTATTTAACAAAGACTTTCTGACCTGTCTTTTCCTCACCACTCACTGCTCCTTCATATAACAATGCCCTTACCTCAATACCCTTAGAAAATACAGCCTCTGTGTCTCTTCTTTGCACCCCTGGGCTTGGTGTAGCAACAACAAAATAATATATTGGCTCAGGAACACAAGCTCCACTGAACTCCAAACAAAACCTCAAAGTATTCATGCTATATAGTAGGATATAGACAGATGCCCCCGCAGTCTGTTCTATAGCGTATGTTGAAGCAAAAAAAGGAGACCATAACTGGAGGTTATGCAGCTTATTAGAAAAAAAGCTGCTATATTTCCATTAAATTAGAAAACAAAGAAAAAAACTAAATTGATGTACTGTAAGGCTACAACATAGAAATTTGTGTTTTTTGTCAGGCTATCTGTTCAAACCTTATCAGATATCTAAAAGAAAATACCAGGAGCAAAACTTCAAAGAATGTTTTTGTTTATTATTAGATTTATTCATTCTGCTTAGCCAAATGCAGGATGCTTAAAGATAACGTTTCGGAAGGGACCAAAGACCAAAAAGAAAAAGGCAAATAAAAAAAAATGCTGATTTATATCTCTTTATGCTAGCTGGAAATGCACAAACATTCAATATGTGTCTCTCATAAAGACAAATATTTTCTGATCTCTTATTTTATTTTGTAAAATCATTGATGTATGTCTGAACAGACTGTTTGTCAGAATAAGTGGTTCAGTTTAATGGGGCTGAGTCTGAAAAACACTTTGTGATATCCGTTTTCTTTTAACTCTCCCAGCTGACACATCCATGCTCAGCATGTGGGATGAATCCATGCTCCTGCTGACCAAAACATTCTATTTAGCCATTTGTCACTACCAAAGAAACATAAAGAAAATTTTACTAAAACAAAAATTATAAAATATGTATGCATGGTCTAGGGGAAAGCACACTGTAGCATGACAAATTTATATTCAGGAAGCTAAACATACATATATACATATATACAGATATGGATGGATGGATGGATGGATGGATGGATGGATGGATGGATGGATGGATGGATGGATGGATGGATGGATGGATGGATGGATGGATAGACAGGCAGAAAGACAGACAGACATACAGACAGACATACAGACAGACAGACAGACAGACAAGGAACTGCCAGAGACAATTCAATCAGATCAAGCAGTCATGCTGGTAAAAAGTTTTTATCTAATGAAAACCAGCTAATTGCATCGAGTCATTCACTTGCATGACACAATCCTCCAACTGAGCTTGTGGCGAAGATATTCACTTGCGTTTTGTTATTGACTCTACAACAGTCCACCACTCTAAGCACACATTTAGCAACAATGGAGATGAAAGTAGAAACTGAATTTTAGACAGTAGAAAAGCCAAAATGATACCAGTAAAAATTAAGTTTTATATGCCAAGAAAGGTAAATATATTTTAGGAGGCCATTCTGACATTTATCAGAAATAAATTTTCAACTTTGTGTCGATTTAACAAATGTTACATCAATAAGCTAAGTTGAAGTTTGTGATTATAACTTGACAAAATGTGGAAAGGTTCAGTATATAGTTTGAATGCTTCCACAAAGCCTTGTATGTGGTTGCCAACCGTTTGAGAGAAAATCTGCTTCCTTTCAATTTAAACCAAGGCTGTATTTCCCAGTACTGTCAATTGAAAGGGCAATGAACTATCTTCTTTACTTCCCTCTGACCTTGTTTATTTAGTGGACAAACAAAAACACATTTCAGAATATGAGCCACTGAAATCATACATGTTCCCTTTCATCATAATTTCTTGTACAAAATCACAATTTCATTTTTCGACATGTGGCATCACAATCATTGACCTTTTCCAGTCTTTCAAACTGTTAAGCGACTACAATCAATAAAAAAGCAACCGGCATACTTGTTTTACGGGGGGGAGTTGAGAAAGGCCAATTTCATTAAACCATAAGGCCAGAAAAGTCAGAATATTGGGGAAAAAGGAAACCTCAAATAAGATTGCAGGTATTTGTTTTTCAGAAGAAAGGGAGATAATCTACAGCAAACAGAAACCTTAGAGAAACATATAATATAAATAGTCAGTGAGAACTGTTCCCCTATACATCAATAAATTCAAAATGGAACGTTTACAACCATATACCAAAACCATAGTGGTTGCTTCAAGTTATACTTTGAAAAACTTATTATACTAATTAATACATAATTTTGAACAACTGAAAAAAGCCTTCTGTCAACCATACAATATTGGAGCAGCAATGCTCTCAGCACGTGCTGTTTAAATCTGCAAGGGATGCATTACGCTTCCTCATGCTCCCTTTGAGTCACTGAGATTCTAACCCTCTCTGACAGGCTGCATTCCTCTGTGTCCCCACTGACACCGGAGGGTCACAGGGTGGCAGGGCGAGACCGGGCAGTTACCTCCGCCTGCAGCTTGCACCCTGCCAAGTTTAGCTGCCTGCTATCAGTGCCAGCAAGTGGGGATGGACAACACACATGGGGGTGTACTGGAAAATCATATCCCACATTCCAAAACCTCTGACTGGTTATCATATGCTTCCAGTTTTAAGCCTGTGAGTTTTATGGAGGTGGATTGCAGCAACACAAGACAGAAATATTCATTTTACATTTGGTTTTTTGGCCTGTAATGCACAGAAACGTTTTATTAGTCGTGATAAAACTGCATCTGTCTGAAGGGATTGGGTCTTTTTTTAAGGATCTGAATGCAATCCATAAAATGTCAATGGGAAATTATGGTGAATCCTTGGTAAAAATATCTCTTGGTAAAGATATGTTTTCAGTGCTCCCATATTCTTAAGACATTTTTTTTTTTACACATTTCTAGTTTTTATGGCTACAATAAGCGGCCTTTAATACCTTCCCAAAGGAAACTGGAGATGCATTTCTATCTGAGCATCATCTTCCTTTCAAAGGATTAGCTCTTAGTTAGGAGATCTTCCATTGCAACATTCTGCAAGCGCAACTAACTCCCTGTTTAATTTGGATCTGTCTACAATTATCCCACTAAATACCCACAGGATCCAAGAGCTTATGTAAATAAAATTTAAAAGAAAGCACTCACACTGTGAAGTGATACATGAAGCACTTCCAGCCAGATGGCCTTTCCAGAAAGTTATACACGCGTCCCTGGATGTAGGCGCGGCTGAGCGCCGGACGGAGCCCTGTGCTGTACACCGACATCCGCACGGACATCCGGGGATGAGACAGGTAGGTTTGCAGGTGAACAGGGGGGGCTCCTACAGGGGAGCTGCCTTCCTCTTGCATCCTCTCTTCGCCCGCAGCTGCTCCTGATCCAGGCGCACTGACTGTGTTTTCCCACAGCTCCAAATCTGGGGGTCTTGTTCCACGCGCCACTCCTGAAAACTTCCTCGACTTCATAGAATTCTCCTCACCGGGAGCGGAAAACATGGACATGAAATTTTTTCTACCCTTTTTCTTCAGTTTAACTTTTTTTTTTTCACAGACTGTTTTTTTCCGGTCACTGGTTTAAAGTGACAAATGTTCGCCCATGTGCGCTCACCTTCTGTTCGCGCCTGATCGCACCAAGACGCATAAAACTCTAGGCGACTATAAACTGTTATTAATGCTCTGGATCACCAGGTGATTTTTCTTCTCCCTCTCGTCCTGGGAACAACTTTCCAGCACTCTAGATTGTCCAGGAAATGACAGGTCCCAGACTTGAACGAGTGTCCCTTACCTCTTCTAATGCTTATCAGCCTTGAGTGCTGTCACCAGGCAGTGCGCTGTGGGCTGCCAGCTGTTCAGTTATAAGCCAACTGTATGATGTACTGCTGAACAGTGGAACGAGCTCTGGCCTCTTATGAACTATTGGACCTTTTTACTGTCTTCTCAAACCATATACTTTATTTACAATGTGGTCAAATGTGTGCATAAGGATTTTTGCAAATTAATCATATTATGATTTTAAATTTCCAATTGAGATCACATTTTAATGAAGTTGAACCTACAAGCAATAATCTTTTTTTCCCCCAATTCCTCTACCTCAGTTTAGATATTATTTGTCACACTAACAACTTGTCACTTTTAAGATGTTACTGAATATCAATAATCAGAATAAGTTGACAAAGTAGTTAAGAACACTGGCTAAAAAGGGCTTTCTTTGGACACTATACCACTGAGCTCTTCGATTGCAGTCCTTGAGGTCTGCTGTGCATCCTTTAAATGAGTCCTTTCAACACACCTGAGTCGAATAATTAGGTCATTAACAGGACTCTGGAGAACTTGACTTGATATTAAGGAGGTAATTCAACAGACATGTTTAACAGGTGGAGGAAACCACACTTCAATAACTTAAACTGAAATCATTAGTGAGCTGGATTCCAGTCGATTTTGTGATGTTTCGACCTAAATATATTATCTAAAACAGAAAAAGCAAAAGTTTTAAAGCATTTAAGAGAGTTTTTTTGTTTTGTTAGATCCTTACATGGAAATCCACATGTTTTTACCAAAGAGAGCTGGGATTTTAAGTTCTTTTTTATCAGTGAATTATTCTTAGTTTGGTACAAATGTTGGTTTTTCAGTAAATTCTCTTCTTTTTTGCAAAAGTAAAACATATCTTTTGTTTTCTATACCTATGGGTAGATTTTTAAATTTCTGAAATTAATTTAATTTAATTCTCTATTGTAAAAATTCAAAAGAGGAAAGCATAAAACTCACTAAGGAGTTGTTTGGATTTTTTTTAATGGAGGTGATATAAGAAGACATATAACCAATGTATGAAAAGATTCACTGTGCAACAGTGCAATAATGACAAATGGTGTTAAGAAATTTGAAATCGTACTTTACTTATTTTAGAGGGAAAAACACATCACTTACGAGTTGTTTTTATACTTGTAGACATTGACTCCTAAATTGTTGAACAATTAACCAAACAATTGAAAACCAGATTTTTCATTTATATCTTAATGTTATCTTTCTGTACAGTGCTTTGTTACTTTGTTTGTGTAAAAGGGCTTTTTATAAATTAATAAACCTTACCTACATATTGGCGTACTATTTATACCTGAATGCTCTATGTACAACTATTTAGTAAACACCATCTCATCGTAGCATATTCCTACTGTACAGAGAGAGTTCTAATTCAATGGATGTTACAGATCTGTCTCCATTATCTGTAATGTTTACAATAGGCTTGACATTTTTTACACAAGTAATTGCCCTCAGTGTGGATTGAACTACTGTACTCTGGATACCTTATTATTGTTGATAAATCCTCTTTTATGGCTCAGGTTGAGTAAATCTTTCTTTATTCCTTATTCCTCCCTGGTTAGTTCTGATTTGGTATCATTTTTTTTTAAGTTGTGTGAGGAACTGCAATATAGCATTCTTGGTTCTGCACATACAGTATATGATTGAATGGATTTAGGTTAAACACAATACTCCATTTGTTTGGTTTTCATGGGTACTGTACCAAATTACTTTACTGTAATAGCTGTATCTTTGTTTTTGAATATGTGTACCATTACTGTACATCAGGGCTTGGTAGTAACTTTAATTGTTTATTTAATTAGTGTTATGAAGCTTCACATTCACAAATATTGGTAAAAAAAACTTAGGAGCCATAAAACAGTTCTAAAATTAAAGCTTTAAAAGTTGATACATGTAGACTGAGGTTTTCTCTGCTTACCTTTTGCCAATACATTTACTGAAGACACTAAATGGGAAAAGCAACTTGGTATTTGAGGGCAAGAAAAACAAAAAACAAATGCAGTTAAAAGAAAGGTTGAAAATATTATATGAGGCACTAATATAACCCATTCCTTGTTGTTTGAATAACCATTAGGTTGGTCTAATTTTCAAAGAAATTCAGTGAAGTCAGTTCATCAAGGTTATCGTCTGGATTTTTCTCTCTGTGACCTTGGCTCAGGTAGTCTAACGGAGAGGAAATAAGCCCCCCGCAGCACATTTTAATAAGAGTCGAGTGTCATCCATGTGATGACAGGATCTGTTGCCAAGCAGGCATTAAACACTACTCATTCTGACTTTTGCTAGAGGGATGCCTTCTATATAATTGGAGTTTCAGTCAGTTGTACAGAAAGGACATTAGACCAGAAAGTCACCAGCTCTCTCACAGCTAAATGGTAAATCATAATGGTCAACTAGTCTAGGACATTGTGTATTTTACTTTAAATCTGGAAGCTCATTTAATATTCTAAGAACAAAGTGAAAGACAGGAAAGACATTACTTTTATTTTAATGTGAAGTAATCATTATTTGGTTCAGTAACTCTGTAGTAAAAGTGGGCTCAGAGCACATTTTTCTTATTGTACAGTTTCCATCAGTTTATTAATATCCTTCCATTTGAGTGAGCAGGGGAATCCAAAGGACAGGGAGAGGCAGTCGGGTATTCTTTGTGTCATAGTTTTTGGTTCTGTTTAAGTTTTCTTTTGAGTTTTCAGTTTCACTTTGATCCATGTTTTTGTGTTTTCTAGTTTTATTGGTTTAATTCCTATTTTGTGGTGATTTCTGGATGTATTTGAGTTCTTAGGTATTTCTTGATTGCCCTCTGTTGCCCTTTCGTGTCGGTCTCCTTTTTCCTGGCTCCTTCTAAATGCTTCCATCCACACCTATCTTAATCAGCTCTTTAGTCCAGTCTGTGTTCTGTCTCCTATATATACTCTCCCTGTGCAGTTCCCCAATGCTGGTTTCTCGTCTTTTCCTGGCTCCCCACCTGAGTTTTCCCCTGAAGTAGTCTGGTTTTTTGTTCCTTGTATTTTGTGCTTTGGTTTTGGATATTTGCCTCAGTAATTTCATTAAAACTTCAAGAACTCACCTTTGCCTCCTCACCACTGCATTTTGGTCCTCAAAACCTCAACCTAACCCTGACACTTTGTTCTTTTCATTTGTTCAATAACCCTATTAAGGGAATCAACCCAAAGTATAACGGATTATCTTTACCTAAGGCTTGCTTACGAAAGTTTGATTTTTGCCAATCACAGTAAAAGATGAAAAAGCAGCAGACCTCTTTAGAAGCCACAACAACTTTTACACTTTTGCTGTTCCTCTTTAAAAGACGAAATTGTTGATTTTGACCAATCAAATGTGATAGGCTCGGCTACATGTACGTCCTACAGTGCTGCTAAGCTTATTTTGGTTCAGAAACTCTTGCTTTCCTCATAGCTATAGGTCTTGCCTTAAAAACTAATATTGCAGCTCAACTGGCAGATGTTATTCAGAAATGATTGCAGTGATTGCAAAATAGGTTTTCATCACTCACACATTATAATAACTCATCTTACATGAGTTGCAAATATCAGTTCTCTCATTATTATTTCTGTGGTAAAAAAAAAAATAACTTGAAGTTTGGTTTTATAATGAGTTAAATTGGTAAAAATATTATATAATATATAATTTTTTTCACCCCTTTTTTCTAAATATCCCACACTTTTACTCCATGCACTGAGAATCACATTTCCCTTAAAGTTGTACACATAGTAGTACTTTTGAAATTGTACTTACTTGATCTTAAAAGAAAAACTTTTTTAAAATTATTGATCAATAATCTCCTTCTGTCTTGAAACATAACTCTTGAAATCTTTAAATGAAACAAATCCTTAACTGTGAAAATTAATTGCATAAACAACTACAGGATGTTCAATTAAAAAGCTTTCTTTTGAATCACAAAGAGTGGTTTAGTGTTGGTTTTATATGCTTTTCATCCATACCTCTATGCAGGAGGTCTGATATGAAACAATAACCAAGACAATTGGAAAATATTTTCAATATAAAAAAAATATTGTTATCAAAAACATTGTATACTTAAAGAGGTTGTAAAATTTTAGTCAGTAGGATTCCAAAGCCGTATTATTGTTCAAGTGATTGTTCAGTATGTTACACTCAGGTACTGCAGTATAGAAGTGCAAAAATAGAATTCCCACCTCTCTGAAGGAGATGCAAAGGTAGAAGTGAGATGTTAACAGGTATTTGTTCTGTCTAAACAAGGTATAACTATGTGTTTTTTTTAATTCCACATGAGAGGGGAAAGCAAACAATATTTTGTTCAATTTAAGTGGAAATCCTAAGATAAAAAAAAAAAAAAAAATCACAAAAACACACAAAAAAAACAAGGCACGATCAAAGAAGCAGCAATAAGGGCCAGGTTAAAACAGCTAAACCAGCACTGTCATATAAATAGCACAACAGTGCAAATGAAAAGCAACAGACTCTAATAACTTATTTGATAAATTGATGTATTCTTTTCTTAAAATCAAAGATTATTTTATTTGGGAGTAGCTGTATCATGAAGAAAAATGTGTGATGTACTAAACTCTGAACGGAGTCTTTCTAAACAGCCCAGCTCAGTCAGTTTAAATTAGTTATGGGATCTCAGACATTATTGTCCTCTTATTTATGAGTACTATAAACACATTAAAGGGATCGCTCCCCCTATGGCTGTATAAACAAATTACCAGCGACTATGCCTATTCATGTAAAGACATTAATAATTAAGCCAATGCATATAATCTGCAAAGATGGGTTTTTACTGCAGGTTATGTATTTGGTCATATAACCAAATTAATAATGATGAAGTGTCTCAAACATGTGAGTCACGAGTTGTATTTGCTGTGTTAGAATAGCCTAGTTCAGAAGCTGTGTTCTTTTAAGACTGTGTTTCCAGACCAGATATGACAAGACCATCCATTTCCAAAGGCTTTTCTGAATGCAGCTTGAAACTGTTCTCACTTTTG